TTCCTACCAACCCAGGCTTCCGGATACCACCGTGTTCCTCTGTTTCCCCATATGTCTCTGGCAACACATCCTTGCAGGTCTAGCTCAGATGCAGATGCTCCCTTCTCCTAGCCCTCATGGAAGGAAGAATAAGCTCTTCCCTCCTCCTCTTGCTCTGAATACACTCCACTGTGACAGAGCAGTGTGTCACCAACGTGTGTCCCTCTGCCTCACGTCCCCACCACTGTGATTTGGAGGGCAGGGGCTCGTCTTGTGTGTCTGGTCTTTTTAGCGGCTACAGATTGCCTGGCACAAAGCAGACTGTCTGGGGACATTGGTTGAATGAATGAAGGATCGTTATTACCTCACATATCCCATCTATACAAACATTACGGCTATCCTCCGAGCATGGAGTCCCATCTTTGACTTTATTTGACAAAGAAAAGAAGAAATCAAATCCTTCTGCGATACAGTAGAGTTTGCATAAGTCCTGATCTTAAAAAGAAATACACACACAAACACAAATAAGAAAGATACTTAAGCTCTGATCACTTTTGCTCTGAATTTTAGATAGATTTTCTTTTTTTTGTGCCATAAAATAATTCCCACACAATAATACATTGTAAAGTCATTTTTTAATGGTTGCCTCATTAGGCTTTTTTAAAAAATTCTTATCCCTTTTCAAAGTTTCACTATCAATTTTTACTCTACAGTATTCTTTATGAATCCTTGTTCTTTCTTTACACCGTGGTTGGCACATAGTAGGCATTCAATAAATATTTGTTGACTTAACTGCAACATTAATGTTTTACAAATTTACTAGTATAATTAACTACCCTCTTGTAAAATGCAAAAAAAAGCCACTACTATTTTGTAGAGTACACACAGTCCTTACAAATAAAGAATCAAGATAGCCACCAAATTTCTCAAGACATTTATAGACAATATATACAATTTTTAAATTGATAAAGAGAATAACTTTTAGATAAAATCTTCAGAGGAAAATGTTTTCCAGAAATATTACAGATTGTCAAAAATACTGACATAGAGAACATAGGAAATTCACTCCTTCCCATGATAATCCATTTCAAGGTCTTGGGGTTTATATAGTTAATATGAAAATTCATAGGAACCCTTTTTCTTTGTTCTCTTCTCAGTAGAGAAAAAGCTGTTGGTGCTATAAATTTTATCTGCCCTATGAGTATTCATTGGGTCAAGGCTCAACTACAGATATTACCCCTAATGTGCAAGGAAACAGACCCAGCTGAACAACTCTGACAATCAAATTTAGTGTGGGTGTCCATGATTAACAACTTTATTTACTGAAGATTAGGAAGGTCAGGAGTGGCTTGGACATTTTTTAACCTCAATTTCGAAGTTCATTCTACATTTTCCTCCTGCCTAGTGGTCTGTTTCCTCACTGGCTTAATCCTTCCAAAGTTTAGGAGTAACACCATAACCCACCATGGTCTGTGTTGGACTGTTTGCAATTTCCCTTCTATCCTCATAAACCCACCATGACATACGCATATTGAGATGACAGTGCATGTCTGATGGGATGCCCAATGCATGTACTTCCCAAGGGTCTCAGCAATTTGCTTGGGCAATAGTCCCCATTTCAAGGAATGAAAATTAGGTATTCTTTAAGTTTCTCCTTAATTATGCCTCCTCCAGCTTCAGGTTATTATAATGATAGGAACAACATTTATTTCTCTTTCATTAGAGAGTAAAATCTTACACATGCTACAAATAAATTTTTTGGTTTATAGTTCTAGATCAAGACTTTTTGAGTAGAGTATAACTGAATATTACCCAATTTTCCAAAAGATACTAAAATGGTTCCTTTATTTTTTGACAACTATACGTATTCAATGGGTAATATGCTTATAGCAACATCACTAGCCATTGCTGCAATTCTTAATTTGATAAAGTATCTTGATCATTATCAACACATTTTCTACTCTGAATACTTTATTACTTTTTCAAAGGATTGTCTTATATTTGCAAACTCTCTATTAGGCATATTGGTTTCTGATCATAAAGTGCCACGTTTAGGTAGGTTGTAACATAGCAAGGAAGGCAAAATCAAACTAACCCCCAGGAAGAATATGTGACATGACTGAAGAGCAGCATCTGGTCTACCTGCCATCACACTCCCAGCAATGTAAATTTTGAATGTGGAGACAGAGCATAGGCCACGACTATAGAGTGGGATTTGAGACTTACCTTCTACTTGTGTGTAAGGCTTCCACTTGTAGTGCCACCCTCTGAACTGCTTGCTGTTAAACTCTGCACACTGAGCAGCCCGGAAGTCCACACTGTCCTGGGGACATTTCTGACTGTTGCAAAGATTGAAAGTGCGTGTTGAGCCCTCACAAAACTTCCCTCCATGCGAAGGCCTGGAATGCATATTTCATAGTTAGAAATTTCATATATATAGGGACCGGCAGATGGCATAATGGACTTCCACGTAATTGACTGTGGTTCAAGTCCCGGACATGGTGGCTTGAAACTTACACTGGGTACATGTGTGAGCATGCCCAAAATTCCAGAGGAGAGTGGAGGAGAAGGGATGGCAGTGTGACCATCCTCCCTGGGAGGTGACTTCTCATTTTCTGTCTCTATCTCTCTGGTGAGTGTTCATGATCTATAGTGAAAATCTCTCTCTAAAATAAAATAAGAAATTTTCTCTCTATATATATACACACACATACATATGTGCATATATACATATATGTATATATTATATATCTGTGTCATATCTATCTATCTATCATCTATCTAGGTATCTAATTGCCAGGGGGTGAATGCACAGCCTGAGAGAGAGAGGGAGAAAGCATCTCCCAATGGGGCATGATCACAGCACTATCCCTTTCCTTCCATTTTTCTAATCCTTCAGGATGTGGGGCATGCATACACATATGCCCGGAGTGTTTTTCAAGCTGCCAGGGATGGAGTTTGAATCTTGGTCAGCCATGGCTCCCAAAGCACTGACTTAATCACTGATCTACAGGGCTGGCCTAGAAATTTCATATTTTAGTAGCTACTTAGACAGTCCTTCCTTGAAGCGAGGCTAATCCCTAAAAGTGGGCATGTTTCTGAGTGTGCACAGAGGTGCTCTCCCAGGGGGCTGGTCTGGGGCTTGCCTTCCTTCTCCAAGGAGTGCACTGTGCTCAGTGCCAGCAGGGCAGGCCTGGTCCTGGAAAGCTTGGTTGTCCTGGGTCGTTGGAAAAGTCATGATGTATTGTTCTGTTTCTCTATATGAAAATGCATCACGACTTTTCTGATGACTAAGTATTTGTTCCTATGGCTGCCAAGCATTACCCCAAAGGAGGCTGGATTACCCTCCTGGCTCCTCACATTCCATGAGAGCAGCTGACCAGGGGAGTGCTGGCTTTCCCAGACCACCCAGGATCTTTCCTAGTTGTGAGAAAATGGAGTTGAGACGGAATTTCTATGACTTTGTTGTCTAGATCCCGGCCTCTTCCTGCTGCCAGCCGCGCATGGTGAAGCCAGGACATGAGGACTGAGTTGGAAGAACCAGTCTCCAGTTGCTGGTTGGCACCGAGAGTTAGAACCCCTGCTTCCTCCACTGTGTGAGTGCACCCAGAGAGCTTCCGCGATGGGGCTAAAATTATAAGTACAGTTACACAGTAGGGCTAGTACTCCATAAGCACACCTAGCAGCAAAGGGAGGATTCTAAAGCCTTTTTGCTTCACTTCCTTAGTAACTGCTTCTAACCTTCTGGTCTTTTTACAGAAATCTATAGTCAAACCACCTACCGTAAAGGTACACACATATTATGGAAAACAGAAATGTGGGGGACTTTTTGCATGCAAATTTGTTCTTATTTATTCTTATTCATTTGTGTTCTCCATACTTTTCTTGTGATGCACTTATTTTATGTTTAAGACAGATCCTTGGTATTTGAAATATACAGTTAAAATCTAATTTCTGACATCTCATTTGTTTTGCTGTGGTCAGGCTTAAGCATCTTTAATGATATCACAGATAGATAAGATAGATAATATAGAAATTCCTAGTAAAACTCCTTTCCTACTCAGTGTCTCTTTAGAGTAGTATGCAAAGCACAGAAACCATACCACAAGTGTAGGTGTCGTCCTGCAGCCAGGAAGGCTCAGGCCCCAGAAGTCCCAGATGGCGAAGGCAGAGACAGTCACGTGCTTACCGGGGATTGGTGCAGAGGCGGTCCCTGTGAGACACGCCTCCTCCACAGGTCCTGGAGCAGGGGGACCAGGAGGACCAGTCCGACCAGTGGCCATGCGTGGGTTGGGGGCCTTCATCACCATATCTCACACACTGCCCTCCACGGCACCACTGGAGATGAAAGAAAAAGTTACATGATTCATGGAGAGATAGATAGGCTCACTTTGTTGTCACTATGATGTTGAGTTGGAGAAAATTCTGTAAAATGCACAGACATCAACGTTCCTACCCTCAAGTAGCAGCCAATAAAAATAAGTTTGATATTACTCATCTTTCTGTTCCAAACCTAGCATTATTTTATACATCCACACACAGAGGAGATGATAGAAAAATCATTAAGGACTGTTCCAGGAACATTCAGCCTGCTTGCTTACCTCCTATGCCCATGAACTCTGACCTTCCTGCAGACAAGGTAATTTCAGACCTGGTGTTCAGAACTGAGTCCCCACTAGGAGAGTTCAGCTGGAGGCTCTGTGTGGCTCAGCACCTTGTCATTTCTGGCTGGCACTCTGTGCTTTCACTGCAAAAAACCTGGTCCCAGAGCCTTGAGATTCTTAATTGCCCATCCATTAGAGGCCACATGACCTTACAAGCAGATGGAACGATCCACGTGGAACCCCACCTATCCTCTAAAGAGCTGGAGATGCTATCAGCTCCCCTTTTTCAAGAGAAATGCTCATCAATTTTAATTTACATTAAAATCCACGAGGTTCCTTCACTTCCATCGCATAATAATGCTGTGTGCTAAGAGTATTCAGTGGCAATGTTGGAGGTGTCGACTCCTTTCTGTCTTCCAGACTGGAGCCACTAGATATATACTGAGAGAAAAGGGCATTACTGCTGTAAGAGGAAAATGATACTTCAATTATTAGTTGATGCATTAGGGAAAAACATAGTTAGCCACTGGTATTTGACAACTATTGATAGACAAAAATGGTCATTTCAAATGGTTTGATTTAATATTACTTAAGAAGAGTTAAATTCAAAAACATAAGTGATTCTGAAGATGTAAGCCTCATTCATTCTATCTGTCAATTCTTCACTATCAGCAAAACGGGAATAAGAAAAAGTCCCTATCACACCACCACCTGCCTTCCACAGACAGCAGAAGCAAGCTGCACAGACCTGCTTCGCTCAGTGAGGATCACGCAGCTGGGAATAATGCCTGGTCTTCTGTCAAGCAGAAAAGCAAGGGGTGCTGACTTCTGGTACAGCACACATCTAAACCTGTAACTCGCACATGAATGCAAACCAGAACCAGCACTGAAAGGGAGTGACTGCATGACACTTGGAAGCAAGCCCCACCTTTGCACAGAGCAGCCAGGCATCCCTGGGCAGAACACCTCATTACTTCAGCCCACGGTCCAGCTGCATAATTTTCAGGCATCTATTCTATCTCAACTTGCTTGAGGGAAAAAGTTGTAGTTAAAATATGTGGGGAAATATTCCAATCAATATTTTGGTGACATTCTTCACAGAAATAGAAAAAAAATAATAAAATATTTCTGGAATCATAAAAGACTCCATGCCACCAAGGCAATACTGGGCAAAAAGAATAAAGTGGGAGACGTTGACTTCAAAATATATTACAAAGTGGTGATAATAAAAACATCATGGTACTAGCACAAAGTAGACACATAGACCAATGGAAGGGACTAGAGGATCCTGAAAATGAACTCTAAATCATATAGCCAATTGATTTTTGATAAAGGGTACGAGACAAAGCTGTGGAAAAAGAAAGTCTTTCCAGTAAATGGTGCTGGAGGAACTAAATAACTACCAACAGAAAAATGAAATTGGACCATTATCCCTCACCATGAACAAAATGAATCACCTCAAAATGGATGAAATATTTAAATGTAAAGCCTCAAACTATAAAACTACTGGTGGAAAACATGAGGGAAACTCTTGAAGACAATGGAGTAGACAAAGATTCCTTAAATAAGACTCCCCAAACAGAGGCAGTGATTCCAGAGATAAGTAGGATTACATCAAGCTAAAAAAGCATCTTTACTGCAAAAGAAACACCAATTAGAGTGAAAGACAACCCTCAGAATGGAAGAAAATATTCGCTATTTATTGTTCAGATGAGGGACTGATAACTAAAATTTATAGAAAACTCAAGCAGCTCACCTATAATAAAAACCAATTAAAAACTGGCAAATGAATTGAATAGACAACTCTCTAAGAAAGACTTATAAGTGGTCAAAAGGCATATGAAAAAATATTTAATGTCTCTTGTCATAATAGAAATGCAGATTGAAACCATAGTCAGATACCATTTAACCCCAGTTAGAATAGCTAGGATCAATAGGAAGAAAGAAAGAGAAAGAAAAAGAAAGAAAGAAAGAGAGGAAGAAAGAAGAAAGAAAGAGAGAAAAGATGACAAGTTCTGGAGAGGCTGTGGTGAAAAGAGCACACTCTTACACTGTTGGTGAGAATGTAAAGTAGTACAACCTCTGTGGAACACAATATGAAGGTTCCTCAAGAACCTACAAATGAAACTACCATACGACCCAGTAATCCCAGTCTTTAGTATATACCCAAAAGATAGGAAAACACTCAGAAAGACACTCGCACGCCCATGTTTATTGCAGCATTATTCATAATTGCTAAAACATGGAACTAAGTTCAGTGTCCAAAAGTTGATGACTTGATTGACTGAAAAACTGTGGCACTTACATACTATGAAATATTAATTACTAAGCCATAAGAAACAATAAGACTCTCTTTTTCAATTCAAAGTAGATGAATATAGAAGACTTAATGTTGAGAGGGAGCCAGACTTAGGAGGCTGCACACTGCATACCCCCACTCAGTATGTATCAAGTACCTGCACTCTATGGCAGAAATGGGAAGGTCTGAAGATAGGGTCATAGATGAGGTAAGTGTAGATTCCAGAGACTGTAAAGGAAGGGAGAGGGTGGTAGAGAGTGGGTGGTGGAGGGTAGGTGGGAGGGGCAAAAGGAATGAACATGTAACATAGAAAAGAATGTAAAATCCTCTGATGAAAAGAAAGGTTCTGTAATTTTTGCTTTATACAAATAATTTAAATAAAAAAAAGAAGTATCAGGGAAAATAATTTAAATATCAATGAATTTAATAGTGTTTAAAGGTAAAATAAAATGTAAAAAGAACCGAGTTTTGTGGTAAGTTTATTTCTTTCTCGTGTGTGTTTGTGTGTGTGTGAGAGAGAGAGATAGAGAAGGAGAGAGGAGAGAGGGAGAGAGGGGGGGGAGAGAGAGAGAGTGAGCTACTACCGCCCAAAACTCCCCAGCCTCCTAGCCAGCCAGGATCACAGGTGCCCGTGCGTGAGCCCAGTATGTTCAGGCCAACTCTGTATGGGCACTGGGGCTCCCATGTGGCTTCAGTGTTGTGCAGCCGTGCCCTGCTGCCTGTGCCATTGTGGTTGGCCCTGGTTAGTAATTTTTTAAATTTTTAGACAGGGTCTTGCTATGTGGCAGTCCTCCTTCCTCAGCTCCCTGAGTCATTGGGATTACAGGTCATGCCGTATGTCTAGCCTTTCAATGGACCCAGGAAACTAACGTGGCTCCCAGTCTGGGTTACTTCTAGGGGCCGAGAAGTACACATTACAGCTATATTACTCAGGAAAAAATAGTATATAAGCAGACAAAAAAAAAAAAAAGCAAAATGCCTAGAATGACCCCATGCCTTGTGTTGATAGCAACTCAAGAGGAACAGCAGAAAGGTTGCCAAGAAATAGGCATGGCTACAAAATGTCAGCTTAAGAATAAGTTGTAATCATTTCTGAGCAGAAGTTATAATTTTCTCCAGCTTGAAACTCAGGTGAATTACCTGATGACCTTTGACAATCAGAATTTCCACTCTGAAGTCCATCAGACCCGTTTTCTCTTTCAAGAGATTAAAAGCCTTTTCATTAATAATAAATAATATTTTTATTATTAATCCATGATATGGATTAATTGCCCTACTGCTGTCTGTAACACTCGAGGAAGAATTGAATTAAGTGAGGGCCTGCAGAATGCAGTGTATTAACGACAGGCCTGGGAAGAGCTTTGGAGGCCCTCTCAATGCACTTCACCTCATTCTTCATCGCCTCCGTCAGCACCGCAATGACTTAGCTGTGTCTCTTACCACTTTACATCCTTTTTTGTCTGTACTTACTGTCACATATGTTTAGAATGTGACCTGTTTATTTTGGAATTTAAACTTTACTGTAAAACTACTGGCTGAAAATATGAGAAAACTCTTGAAGACATTGGAGCAGGTAAAGATTCCTTAAATCAGACTTCTAAAGACGGGCAATAACCCCAATCGTAGACAAGCAGGACTACACCAATTCCATCAGACACACACAAAACAAAAATGGTTACAATGATAATTCAGGCCCAATGTGTCTCTATTTTCATCAATAGTCTTTCATATTCTGAAAAAAAATGATGAAATCATAGGTTAAATGAGAAAGATTCAAATATTATGCTGGAAGTGATGATTTATTTTGAAAGTTTTTAAAAAATGATTATTTAATGGTATGTATTTTCATTTTTAAATTTGCTATAGAGCACACCACCAGAGAGAGAGAGAGAGAGAGAGAGAGAGAGAGAGAGAAAGCGAGAAAGCAAACCACCATGTCCAGGACTAAAATTGTGGTTGACCATGTGGGAGTCTAGAACTCAACCATCACGCCACCTCCTGGCCCGTATTTCATAAGTTTTAATGACGAATTGTTGTTCTTTCTATTCAGCAGTGAGCTTGCTATCTTACATGTTTCTTTCCTTACTAAAGCTCTTTCTTTATTCATAGGAGCAACAGTTCAAAATGGCCTGCTCCAGGGTCTCCAGACGGATGCTCTGAGACTTTAACAGTGTTTAGAGCAATGGTGGATACTAGACACAGTGTGGGAGGAAGGTGGGCAGTTGAGGGGGGAGGGAGGGAATCAAGGGGAGGAAAAAGAAAAGGAAAACATTGAATAGGCACAAAAGCGTGAAGTTATGTGTTAAGGAGGGTGTGCATGGCACTATCTTTGCCTGGCCTAGTCGACAGTCTATTCTGGCTGGAAAGATTCATTTTGTATGCTGCAAAGACATACAGCGATGAAATGTAAGTAAAACAAGAAAAAAAACCAGCAGTACTTACTGGTGGTTAAATTGTGGTCAACAGTTTAATATTTGTCTCACTAATACACCGAGTTATCAACTACTGCTTGACTTGCTTGTTAACTCCAGAAGGCTCATCAAATACACAAGTGAGGAAAGGAGTCTATACCACCAATATAAAGCACACCTAGACATCTGACGCAGGTGTCGGTGTGCACAGGTACAGAGAAACACGGGCTTAAACATTACCAGTGTGAAGGGGAGGGCTGTGTGGGTGAGAGACTGACAGGTGCATGTGACTCTGTGGCTATCCTTGGCTCCTCACCAGGTCGCGCCCACACACAGTGCCTTCTGCTGCCGGCATAAATTTAGTCTCGCATTTCCTTCCAATCCGATGGCACCACAGGGCCTTACAGATGTCCTAAAGGGAGGAAAAAAGGTCATTGGGATTCACGCTGTCCACAAGGATTGATCAAATATCATCGAGAAGTTTAAGGGGAGAGAGCTGATGCACATTGGAAGCAGATGTCTACTTAGCACTAGACACATAACGTAAGCCCACATTCCAGGTTTGGTTCAGAATAATTCCATTTCTGAAATTGTATTTATTTGCATTGGCTCATTATAAATGTAACGCAACGCTTACCCCTTCATACCGTACAGAGTGCTCATAGGCAGGGTACATTGGGGTCTCTGCTTTTGGCCAGATGGCATTTAGAGACCAGAGACGTATGAGGGGTCTCCATAAAGCTCATGGAGATTGCATTAAAAAATAATGCATAGATTAAAAAATAATGCATAGATTAAAAAAATTTGCACCCAAATAAGCTTGTACTTTAATTCAATTTTCCATGAACTTTTGAACACTCTCCTATGAGGTTTCCGTCAAATCCATCAAAGCAGTGACCTCAGTGTCTATGACTCTCCAAAGAGACAACTGGACAGCTCTATTTTCTTCTTGGTATGAAGCTTGATAGAATACCCAGGATATGAATACAGCTCCCTCAAAACCTGAGTCCACAGACTCATTCGCCATGTCTGGGCGAATCAGAATGATAGACTAGGGGCCAGCAGGTGATGTGGTGGTTAAGGTGCTGGACTCCCACATGGCTCACTTTCTCTGTGTCTTTCTAGTGAGTACATGTGCCATACAGCAAAATACAATAATAATAACAAGAAATAAAATACATAATTCTTTAAAAAAATAAAACAGAATGAAAGACTTGAGACTGGCAGGGGGCAGCAGACCTGCACTTCAATGGTGCTGGTAGAGACCGGGGTGGATGAGATACAGGGACCTACACAGAACACAGATAAATACTGAGAAGAAGAACGCTGCCCTGATTCTGGCAGCTGGGAGATGGCCGCAGTGGTGTGGTAGAACTGGAGCTCCGAAATGGGTAGGCAGAGCTGGTGTGGCTTGGTCAGCGTCAGGGCAGAGCTGGGCAGGATCCTTGCTTCCTTACTGTGCACTGAGAGTGACAACATCCATGACCTGTGTGATCTGGGGCTCAATGAAATGGTTACAGGTGATGTGCCCAGCCTAGGGCCTGGCATCTAGTAGGCGTGAAACCACAGAAGTGCTGTCCATCTCCTTCCTCATGTCAAGGGCTTGAGGAGATCCCAGCATAGTCAGGTCTCAGCCCATGTTTGGTGCCACTTTGATCATTATCACCTTAGGGGACTAAGGTACTTACTCTTGGGTCACTTTCTGAGACTATCAAAATGACACAAGATAAATGGTGTGTGTGTATGTGTGTGTTTAAAGTTTATTTAATTCTTCTGTGAAAGGAAGGGAAATAGAGAGACAAGCACCTTCAATGGCGTCAATGCTGTGACCCCCCCTAGCTCCTCCAGTCAGCCACGATCATGGACAGAGCTTCCCTAAAGATCCAGCACCCCTGGAATAGTGTGTTACACTGAGCTGGCCCACGCTGCTTTAAAATGTTAAGTTTTAAAAAAGTTTTTATTTACCAGAAGTCATGTGTGTTTACTGAAGAGAGAGACAAACAGGGACAGAGCAGAGACAATGCAGCCCCCATGGGAGATGGTCATGCCACAATCCCTTCTCCATTTTTCCTTCCTTTGGGACTTTGGGCACACATGTACATGTGCCTAGTATGCTTCTCAAGCTGCCGACTCTGGGACTCAAACCATGGCGTCGGCCTTGTGGGACCGAGCCATTTTAACCACCAAGTCATGGCTGACATTATTTTAATACATTCATCAACTGTAGTGGACTGTGTGTGGTACCCAACCAGCTCTCAGTAAATGCTTTTGGAACATGTGCTAGTGTGTTCCTGTGCAGACCACTGATAGAATGGGCAGAAAAAATTAGTGTATAATGAAATTAATAACGATTAGTGAATTACAATCATAAAGAACGCCTAAAATGGGTTAAAACAGAAATACAAGATTCAGATTATCATTCAGAGTAATTTTGGAATATTGTTATATTTTAATTCCTGGGAACGTTTTGCAGAATAAAGAAGTGGATGAATACGATACAAAGCCACAGCTTTCGACTTTTCTAAGTTAAAGCTCTCACAGGAAGCACGTAGACTCCCTCATCTGCACCCTGGCAGGAGTGCTATCTGTATATTTTCAGCCACAGTCTGCAAGCTGCACAATTGCCACTTCCAGTCCTCAAGCAGGAGTAATCCATAGGCGTGGAGGCATCCTGAAACATCCTATCATACGATGCATGCTACTGTTTTCCACCATCAAAGCACTTGAGACCTTCTGTCTGTAGATATGATTGTGCTATGTAAGGTAAACATAACCCTCCATCCTAGACAAACCAATAACATCTCTAGTATCTTAAAGAATTAAGATACTAGTTAGTATGTTAAAGAATTAAGATACTAGTTGTAAAATAAAATTTAAACAACTAAAAAGCCAATCATGAGTTGTTTTCTCTCATTTTCCATCATACTGTGACTTAACTGCTAACTTCTGAGTATGAAGTTCAATGACTGTGTAAAGCACTTTGACCATTGTATGCGTACTGAAACTTCAGAGGCCTCTTGGAACAAAGATCCTATTTAATCATAGCTCCAGGGTTCTGGGAATTGGAATGCAAGACTTGGGGGAGTTGAGGGAGCTACCAATTAACAACCATCCCCGGGATACTGAGGTGATCAAGCTTCAAAGTAATTTTGGGCAGGGTCAGGCCACTAAACAATGTTGACAAAGCAGAATTGGTACTTAATAAAGACACAATGTATGTAATCACTGGGGCTTAACTCAGGCAGAACAGAGCTGAAACCTAGGCACTTGTCAGTAAACCTGGTCTTTATCTTTGCAGCTAAGAAATACCGTCTTCGATGAAGGTTCTGTTTCACTACTCTGCCCCATAATTTGAGTTATGTTCCAAAGGCCAATTTTAGTAACACTGACTTGGTTAAGTTTAACGTCAAAATATAACAGCCCAAACAAACCAGCCTTTTAGAAGACAGGCTGGCAATGTACGGTGGGATTTCAGTACTGGGGACCATCTAAGACAGACAGGGAATATTAGCGTGCAGTTACAGAGGTGATCACATAATGCACACAGTGATTTATTTTTCAAGCAATGGCACGTTTTGTCCCCAAGTCCGATGATCACTATGCACAGTGAACAGAAGGTCGTTATCATATACATGTGTGAATTTATACACAAGTATATAAGCATACATACAATTATAAACACAGAATGAGATTTTCCTCAACAATAGACTGCATATGGGACAGTGGTCCCATACAATCACCAGATAGGCCAGGAGAGCAGAGGGCTACATCAGGAAGGTTTGTGTGCGTGCACTCTCCGAAGGTCACACAACGGTGAAATCGCCTGACGACTTCGTTCTCAGACTGCCTTCCCATCCTGAGTGGTGCATTGCTGTATGTAAATTGCAAATACACCAATCTAGACCACAGGTCAAGCTATCGAATACATTTTAATAAATTCCAAAGCATACGTAGAGTATATCCCCTGAACAAGATTGAACTAAATAAGAAATCAAGATTAAGAAGGTATCTAGACACTCACTATTTCAAAATTAAATATACACAGGTTAAAGAAGAAATCACTAGTTAAATGAGAAATTATTTTGCGCTTAAAAATACTAAAAGCCCAACATGTAAAAATCTTCAGAATACAGCTATTATGGTACTTGGAAATTAATAGCTTTAACATAGCTGAATGACTATGTTAAAAAAAACCAACAACAACAGGATTTAATGAAATACCAAAGATTTCAACAACAACAAAGGCAAATATTTATGTATTTGAAAGGATTAATTGATCTGACAAACTAGCTATATTGATCAGGAAAAAGTATCAAAAACACATTAACATTATAAAAATCAAAATGGGGAGATGTAGTTACAGATCAGAAGATAAATAAAAGAATAAATTGCACTATTACAACTAACTTTTTTGGAAAATATCAACAACACAGGTAAAACAGAAAAATGTATTGAAAAAAATCTCATTCCTTGTGTCATTTTTGTTGATACTAGTACTTTTTCTAGTGAATTTGCTCAGTTTAAATAGGAGTTTCTTCTGAATAATACCAAGTCTGTTTCTATAGCTGCAATTTGTCATTACAGAAGTCGTCTCACAAGCAGAACTCGCTGGTTTATCTCCTCGGAAGTTTAGAGAAACAATATCAATCTTTCACAAACTTTAAGAAAACAGGAAAGTAGGGAAGTCTCAACCCACTTTATGAAGCCAGCATAACTGATTTCAATTCTTGAAAATAAATTATAGGAGATCAAGATTTGTTAATAATATCATTCAAGAACACATACATAAAAATCCTGAATAAAATATTCTCAAATCGAATTAGCAAAATTTAAAAATGAGTAATAGGTTACGACCAAGGGGAGTTATCCCAGAAACACAGTTTGGTATAACAACCAAAACCAGTAGGGAAAAAAAAAGCCAAGCAATATAATTTGCCACATTAACAGAATAATGGAGAAAACAATGCATCCATAGACATACACAATTTTGTGATAAAGTCTCTTGACAAACTAGGATTGGAAAGAAAATTTCTCAGTTTAATAAAAAGGTTCTATGTAAAACCAATAGCTAACATCATACTTAATGGTGAAATATTACTTCACTTTTAATACGTAGAACAACCTTGTTCTGAAGTTAAGGAATAGGCACCCCTTAGCTATGATGCTTACTTAATGGGATGGGAAGGGTTAAGTGAAAAGGGGCACAGCGAACTTCTGGCTTTCATGGGAATAAGCTGTTTCATATTGGGATGCTGGGTACTACAGGAACACATATGCTAAAATTTAAATAGCACACTTAAAATGAGTGCATTTCACTGCACACGAACCTATCCCCAATGATAGAAAGACACTCTAGATTTAAGTTATTGTTTCCCAGTGGGACGAGGCTGTATGAATGACGCACTGCATGGTCACAAGATAAGCTGATGTGGAGCTAGAAGTACGACCTAGAAAAATTCCATTTTTGAAAGAAAGAATTGGTCTTATGCCCCCACCGTTTTTTAAAGCAAACAGAGGAATAATACTTAAAAAATATATGTTTATGAATTCACATTTCCTGTTCCCAGAACAGGCGACATTGGCAATGGTTATTGCTCTCATCCGAGCTGAGCCACTAAGAGCCAGTTCTGGCATGGCGTAGTAATTGATCTTCGAAGGCGTTTTAGTCGAGTTTAGAAGAAAGAAGATTTTCATGTTAGATTTAAGTTGAGAGTATTCCCAGTACATTCTGAAATGTTTGGAGGCTTCTGGAAGACCATATTTTTTGGTCTATTTTCCACTTGATTTCATTATAAACTAGAATAAAATAAACCTTAAAAAATAGTTACTTTCATTTAATTTATGGGTCGCTTTTCATGTGGGTCAACAGAATGAATTCCTAAATCTCTGGGTTTTTTTCTGTCTCCAAGAGCATGTATCTCTGCGTTATATGAGTTCATATTAGGAAACCACTCTGTGGTGTCCCTAGGGTTGGAAGAGCAGATATTACCTTCTATGAGACTCTGTAACTATTTTATTTGGGGAATTTAACAGTCAGAAGTCCTAGATGGACTGCTGCTTTATAGTAAATTATACTTATATGTGGAGGGGCAGGGGGAAGAAAGGACATTGCTTCCTTAATACCCTTTGAAAATATGCAGAGTATTAGTTCGCCAGCTTACACCGACTAAATGTTATTACTGAGCTCCCACATGATAAATTAGAAAGAAAGATCTGACCTAACAGGCCGAGTCAGTTCTCAAATGAAAACCGATATCCACAACAGTATCCACCGTCATTTTCTTTGCCAGTAAAACATGTGTTTCCTGTTATACGGGACCAGCCCCAACATACAGGCTTTGACATTTGGTAGGTACCCAATAAATGCAGAACATATAGTAACACGAAATAGAACAGTTTTATGAATCATATTGCACTGAGCATTTGCCAATAATCACTTGCCTTCTTAAAGTCCAGCATGCACAGCTTGGCTTTCTCTCCAAATTGCCACTTGCACTGTGTGTTTGCGTCGTATAATTCTCCTGGCAGCTTCTCAGGATACTTGTATTCTTTCACAGGCTTTGGCTGATCAGCAAGGCATATCGCCTGAGCAGTGCTGAAAGAAGAGATGGGCCTCCGAGTGACTGCCAAAGCGTTACCGAAGGATGTACAATTAGGCCTGGTTTTTCCTCATGCAATTTTATAACCTATCCTATACGGAGTGAGAGAAAATTTTTCTCCTGTGGCTCAATATAATATTTATCTTAATTACATTTAAATACGGGGGTCCTCATTTTCAAACTTGTTCAAAACATACTTTTACCTTTTCCAGAGAGAATTTTTTTCTTCAAACTTATCATGAGAAAAAGTGAAATTGAATAATTACAACCGGATGGGTTTAATGAAAGAAGCTGCTAGTACAGACGCCTTGTATGCATGCTTCTTGCCAGAGACAGCCAGAAGATGGAAACGGGCATTGTAAAAGTAAGAGCACAGTTCGTCTATTTTAAAAGCTGGAAACGTACTTCTTTCCTTGCTTTTTTCTTCTTTTTTAAAAAAATGTTTTCTCTTTCTTCTTTTTTCTTTTTTTCTTTTTTTAGTTTTTTTTTTTGCCATAGGATGTGCATGGTTACCGGAGAGAGACAAGAGTGAAACTGTGAGAAGGAAAGTGAGAAATCACCCCTTAGAGGGGACGGCCATTCCACAGACCCTTTTCATCCTTTCTCCTCTTAAGATTGGGCACACATGAACACACACCTGGCATGGTTTTCAAGCACCAGGTATGGGACTTGAATCATAGTTGGCCATGTAGGAGTCCAGCTGCCTTAACGACCATGACATCTGCTGGCCTTCCTTTTTCTTCCTTTTCCTTTTAATTCTTTATTTTTTTCTTCCTAGGCTAGTGGATATCTGTACAATACCACACAGTAATCTATTATACCAATGTGATAAAAAAGAGGAGACACATACTGTATCTTTATAGATGAAGAAAAAAATTATTTGACAAAATTTAATACCCTTTCACGATTAAAAAAAAAAAAAACCTCCCAGAAAAGTAGGAAAAGGTAACTTCCTTGTCATGATAAAGAGCATCTACATAAACTCTACAGCTGAAATTATTCTCAATGGTGAGAAACTTGAAGCTTTCTTATTAAGGTCAGGAACAAAGCAAGGATGTCCCTTCTCAACACATACTGGCAATCTTAGCTAATGCAATATGACAAGAAAAGCAAATGAAAGGTACCAATTGGGAAAGAAGAAATGAAACTTTGTTCACAGATGTTTATATAGAAAATCCAAAAGAATGAACCAGAAAATTCTTGGAACTAAAAGATTATAACGAAGTTTTAGGATAAAAGGTAAATATACAGAATTGCTTCCATATATACCAATATTGAACACATGGGATTTATTTCAAATTAAAAATAAAATACCATGAGGGCCAGCATGTGGCATAGTGGTTAAGGCACTGGAGTCTTTCATGGCAGATCATGGTTCAAGTACCAGACCCAGTGGCTTGAAACTCACACCAGATGTGTGTGCATGTGTGCCCCAAATCTCAAGAGGAGAATGGAGGCATGGCCATCCCTCCTGGGGGTATGTGTGATTTCTTGCTTTCTGTCTTTCCATCTCTGTCTGTCTGTCCAGTGAGCACACATGTGCTATAGCAAAAATCTCTCAAAAAATAAAAGAGAAAGAAAATACCATTTACTTTAGCACCCCCCCCCATATACATAGGCATAAATCAAGCAAAAAATGTAAAAAAGCTATATGAGAAAAACTACAAAACTCTGATGCAAGGCATTTTAAAAAACACTAAATAGCAGATGACATAATGATTATGTCGCCAGACTCCCATGTAGTCAACTGTGGTTCTGGACCCAGAGGATTAAAAAGTCATGCCAGGAGCATGTGCATACATGCTCAAAAATCTCAAGAGGAGAGTGGAGGGGAAGGGACTGTAGTGTGGCCATCCCCCTGGGGGGGAGTGATTTTTCACTTTCTCTCTATCTCTCCAGCAAGCACATGTGCCTTATAGCAAAACAACAAAACAAAACAAAACAAAACAAAACAAAACAAAACAAAAACTCACAGCAGGAGCATGTGTAATAGTGACCCAAATCCTGAGAGATTAATGGAGGAGAAGGGATTGTGATGTGGCCATCTACCCTGAGGGGTGATTTCTTGCTTTCTGTCTCTCTGTTTCTCTGGTGAGCACACACAACCTATAGCAAAAATCTCTCTCTTAAAAAAGAAAAAAGACTAAATAAATGGAGAGAGATTCTGTGTTTATGGTGAGGAAGACTCAGTATTGTCAAAATGTCAGTTCTTTCCAACTTGAGCTATAAATTGAATGCAATCACAGTTAAAATTCCAACAAGTAACATTGTATCTATAGGCAAACTGATTGTAATTTTCATAGGGAAAAGCAAAAGATATAGCAGAGCAAACACAATATTGAAGGAAAAGAACGAAATGAGAAGGCTGGCTCTACCAACTATACCTGTGAAGGAACAGTAAACAAGACAGGTGGTACAGAGAAAGAACAAACAGGCCCGGCTTCAACAACACGCATTGGCTGATGCTAATAAATGGCAAACTGATGCTACATGTGAGGCCAGGGTTTGATTTCTAGCCCACCCAAAAACCCAGGTGTGATGACATGCCCCTTTAGTTTTGGTTACTCAGTAAGATTGTGACATGGTGAGGCCTTGCTCCCACTCCGCACCCCCCGAAAAAAAAAGAGAGATCATTAGTGGAACTGAATAAAGAGCTTGGAAATAAATATTTACAAAGTCAATGATTTTTGGAGCAAAGGTAATGGACTATAGGAAAAAGAGCCTTTTGAACACTAATGTCAGAATAACTAGTTATCTAGATGCAATAAAATGAACCTAAACCCAGGCCTTATACCCTTCATAAAAAGTAACTCAGAATGGATCATAGGTCTAAATTGTAAAATGCAAAATTATAAAACCCCTAAAAAATAACAATGGAGAAAATCTTGGTGATGTGGGTATGGTGATGACTTTTAGATACAACACACCAAAGGTGCAATATATGAAATAAATAATTGATAAGCTTGAGTTGATTAAAATTAAAAAATTCTGCTCTGTGAAAGACACTGTCAAGAAAATGAAAACAAGCCACAGATTGGGAAAATATTTTCAAAAGACATATCTGATCAATTATTGTTATCTCATAATATACAAATACATCAAATTCAACAATAAAAAACAAACAACCTAGGACAAGCATTTGGCAGAATGGCTATGTCACTGGATTTCCAAGTAGTCGACTGTGGTTTGAGTCCTGGACCCTGTGGCTTAAACACATGCTGGGCACGTGTGCATGTGTGCCCAAGACCCCAAGAGGAGAATGGAGGAGAAGGGACTGCAGCGTGGCCATCCCCCCTAGAGGGGTGATTTCTCGATTTCCGTCTCTCTGTCTCTCTCTGTCTTTCTGGCAAGTGCACGCACCCTATAGCAAAAGCCTCTCAAAAAATAAAAAATCTAACAAAACTTAGCAAAAGATCTAACAGGCCAATTACCAAAGAATATGCAGGTGGCAAATGAAAATGTAAAATCATTTGTGCATTATGTGCAAAATCATGCTTAATATTATATGTTATTAAGAAATTGAACATTCAAATGACAACGAGACACCGCTGCACATGTCCTGGAATCACTGAAACCCGAAACCCTGACGACATGAAATGCTGACAAGTATGCAAAGCAATCAGAGTTCTTATCACATTGCTAATGGATATGCAGAATGGTGCGACCACTAATGGTGTGGGCACAAGAATGAACACTATTACAGACATTTTAGAAATACTCTACCACAATACTCCTATAGACAAAATAAATGTTGATGCTATTATATGCCATACACAAAAATCAAATGGCCTACTTGTGATAAGACAATAAAGCTTGTAAAAAGTCATATGAAAGAATGTTTTGGAATAAGGATAATTTTTCTTTTTCCTAGCAGACCACAAAACAAATACCAATCTAAGGGGAAAATATGGACAATTCAGACATAATTTAAAAAAATAAAAGATTCTGTTTATCAAAAGTCACTATTAAAATTATAAGTGCCAACTCATAGAGAAGATATGATATTATAATACATGTTTATACTATATGTAAGTTCCATAATGGGCACAGTGTTCAGAATATATAAAGTATTCAGAATGTATAAAGTATATCAAGAAATAAGAAAAAGACGGTTTTATTTTAAAAAAAATGGACAAGATTTGAACAAGCACCTCATTAAAGAGGTAATATATTAGGCTGTCAGGAAAGTCATGAGTATTTTTCGATGCAAAAATGTGTCCTGACTTTCTGGATAACCCAATAAAATAGTAATTAAACATATAAGAGAGTACTCAATCTCATTTATTACTACTCTGAAATGTCACTACACATCCACCACTAGTGGATAAAATGAAAAAGACCAATAAAACCAAGTGTTGGCAAGTATTGGAGTCATTTTTATGTTTATAATTGCTTTAAGAAGAGTAACTTTGCACAGCCACTTAGGAAAACCACTTGACAATAACTACTGAAACTGTACATACATATTTATGACTCTGAAATTCCACTGCTACGCATACTCAAAGATGTATGTATGAACCAAGTTACTTGTAATAACTACACCTTGGACACACAAATGTCAATCTCCAGTGGGTAAGTGAACCGCAGTGTACTCAGAAAGGCAGGTATGTGAGTGCAGCGAAGAAGCACCTCATAACCACACAATAGGACATAACTCATGACTCCATGCATACAAAGTTCGAAAACGGGCAAAATTGTCTCCCGTGCCATATGCCAAGGCAGTGTGTGTCTTCTGGAGAAGAGATAATGGAGATAGGAAGAAGAGATCTCCTGCATTCTGTGTCTTGATCTGGGGAGGCGTTATACTGCTATGCGCTCTATTTAAAGACCCATTGAGTTGCACCCTTACAGTTTTGTACTTTTCTTTATATATATTGTAGCACGATAGAAGTAATGTGGGGCTGGCAGGTGGTATGCTGGTTAAGGTGCTGGACACCTTCATGGCCAACCATGGTTCAAGTCCTGGACTTGGAAGCTTGCTTCCTCACTTTCCTGC